CTCCGATCGGGCACCAGCCTCCCGTACCTCCCGTCCCAACACGGCCTTTTCCCTCCAACGAGGGAAGGACACGTGTATGCGAGTGGGACGTATGAAAAGCCGTTGCACAAATCGGCGGACGATACTACTTCCCTCCGGCAAATCGTTGTTCAGGGTTCGTAGAGGCTGGGTTTGTCATTATCGATATGCACTTCCCACCTTACTCGATGTTGTTGCCATTCAACGAGTTGATCGTCATCCCGTGGACGGCAGTAGAACCCCACTGGCCGCGCACTCTATGCACCGAATGTCAGCGTTTTGAGCGCTACGAATCCAGGGGTTTCCACTACCGTGTGCGGAGTGAAGACGAGCATAAAGAAAGAGCCACGCGGTTGAGACCATCCACGTCGGACTCGGAATTGACCAGCGAACGACGACGAGATTTGATACGAAAACGAGACACGCGGAGCGTGCCAAAGCCTTTCCGTTCTAAACGACGGGCTGTAGCCCGGTGGGAAGCCTGACAATACTTTTTGGATTGAATTTGGATTTTTCTTTTTTCGCGTCGTGCCCGCGCGCGCATTCTGCGACGCGCGAAAGCAATCAACTTGCTTCATTGGACCAACACGGGGGGTTTCAGTTCCATCTGTGTCCCCACACTCAATTTCCAAAAATCCTTGGCACACCCCATCTTGCTGATTTTCTGGGCCTCTTCCCGCACGCCTAACACTCCGAACGAAAGACAGCACAGGGCGTGAGGTTGGTATCGGAGCCGACACGTGTCGGTTCTAATGATAGTAAGTCGACCTGGCGAGAGGTAGGAGAGGCCCTCAACTAGCTCGTCGGGATCGCCCAGTGACTAGGTCTCAATTCGGTGCAGTTGCACCCGCCATGCCGATGGCAGACGGTACTAGGGTGATCGTTAGCATCCCCGCCCCCTTCCCTTTCTTCCCTAACCATACCCATCCCGAGGCTTGGCTGGAAGCTGTCGAAGCTCAAAATTACAGCGCAGCCGATCTTCCCCGCGTTCTGACATTGTTACTCCGCAATACGTCGCATGACTGGTTTAGAAAACATACGTGGGTAGATTGGGATACCTTCAAACAAGCCTTCTTGGCTCAATTTGATACGGTCAGTGAAGATGCCGCCTGGTACGTGCTAAAAAATCGGCCACAAGGACCCGGGGAATTGTTGCCCGATTTCGTGGATCGATTTCAAACCACGTTGGACAAATCGGGGCGAGACGAGAAATCCGCTCGAGATTTGTTCATCCACCTACGAAGTCCCACATTGAAAGGGAAACTGCAGAAAAAAGTCCCACCGAAGACACACCAGCTCCCTGGTATCATCGCAAAAGCACTGGAACTGGACCTAGCGGATACAAAAAAATATATCAGCCAGGGAGATGAAGATATTACCGATACCATACGGGATGTAGCGGCAAAAAGGCGATCATGGCTGCAGGCAGTAGAACGGTTCTATCCCCGCCTCGACCATGACCTTCCCAATGGGGTTGCTTCCGATATCCCGCCTGTCTCTTTTCCCTCTCCCCCTGTGAATCAACTGATAGCGGCAATGAACAACAGAGTCCCCCATAAATCCCCCACGCCGACCGTAACCAACTTACATCTTGCCCAAATGATCCATACGGCCACTAGTAAGCAGTCCGAATGGATGAGCAACTTGATCCAAATGCAGGCCGCTCATATGGAGCGGATGAAACAGATAATGAGCAGACTAATTAAGCCTAACCCGGCCTTGCTCGGACTGCCCCTGCATCATTTCGGCTCTTGGCTGCCCCGCCTGCTCAAGGGTACGCACCTCAGTTCCCTCACCTAGCTAATCCAGCAGGAAAGATCGGGTGTTTTAACTGCAAACAGCCCGGACATTTCGCCCGAGACTGCCCGCAGCCAAAGCGTAGTCAGCCCCCACCTGCGGCAGCCCCTGTGGCCCTGAATCAAGGACGAGTGGCCGCACTAATGGATACGGCCCAAGGAGGGGAGCTCGTGGCATATGCCCCAGAGCAGCCTTCCCCTTCGACGACCATGGCGTCGACCTCAGGAGCTTCCTCCTCTGACGCTGCTGACGTGGTCGATCCACTCGAATACCTTCATCTTGCAGGCATGGTCGGAGCGATCCGATCAGCCCCTGATGATCTCGAATGGGTCGATCGCGGATCCAATCCTGGTCCGCAGTTTCGAACAGGAGAGATTGATGTGTTAAGAGCGCTCAAATAATTGGATATTTGTGTTCTGATCCCGGTGGGACATCTGCTCACCATATCTGAAGCGGCGAACGATAAACTTTTACAACATTGCCAGAAAAATCAAAAGCGCTTCACCTATCAGCGCATACAACGGATGTTGAAGAAGAAGGAAGGAAGCGAGGAAGTTGCACAGACCGAACCCAAAGCCGGCGAACCTGAGGCTGCACGAATAGCCGCGATCTCTTTAGCAGAAAAAGATCACTTCGTACGAGCTCGACCGGTACTATGGAAGAGCGCGGAATGTGATTGCAAAGTTTGGGGCAACCCGTTTAACGCTCTTATCGACACGGGGTCTTCTGCAGTAGCCATATCATTAGATACTGTCAGAAAGACGGGACGACTCGGATCCATTCTTCCTCAATCTGGCAAAGACAATTATGTCTCCGCCGACGAGGAAGCAATGAATATCGTAGGCATTATTGAGAATGTGGCTGTAAAAGTCGGACGAATACACGTCCTTGTCAATGCGCTCGTGATAGATGTACATTCCTATTCTGTGTTGTTGGGACTACCTTGGGCGATGGCGGTGGGCGCACGATTGCATTTCGATTCGAAACAACTGGTGCTCACTCAAACTGGGGGAAAGCCTCAAACTGTTCCTTTGCGAATTTCCACCCGAACGATAAAACGAACCCCTAACTCGGCCCAAATAGGGATGATTCGATACATTAATCACGAGGAGTGTTCTTCCTCATATATCGATAGTGGAATCAGGGAACAGGAATACGAAGAAGAGCTGCCTAGCGAAGATGAATGGAAGCACCTGGTTGAACTGTTCGAACACGAAATTCCCGAAGAATTCCAAGTGTGCCCCGACCCTGCTCGAAGCTTCCACGTGGGTTCAGGAGACAGCGCGCTTGCGCCTCCGATAACTCAAGTTAGTCCTTGGGTCCTGCTTGGGGAACCTATATTACAAGTATCTGACCTGGTCGATGATTCGGAACCCCCTCGCACCTTGTACGAAGGAGCTCTCTCCTTACGAACGCGTTATCAGCAAACGGAACAATATTTGGATGTTTCTGTTTTCCCGCCCAGATCGTTACTTACGACAGGAGCCACCATCGCTTTGATTAAACAAGAAGCACCGGTCAGTGATGTACCTGATCTGATGCAGGAAATGACGGATCTAATGGGGCTAACTGTGGAACCGATCTCGGTTGGTTTAGAGACTGATGCTGAAACTAAAGAAACGGAGATGATCAGCCCCGCTGAGTCCCAGATGATAGCAACCGTCTTCTTTGTTCGCACCAGTAGTTCCGTTTTCTCTAGTGTCTATGATCGACGGGAACGACCGGTTGATTGGGTCGATATGCCCCTTAAGATTTCAGGGAAATCAACAATCACCCTACCGAGTCACGTTCCCACGGAACTTCGGAAGTCGTTAATCTGTGTGTTAAATGGTTACGCAGAAGTATTGAGCATACACGATAATGACATCGGCTTAACTAATGTGATCGAGCATGCCATTCTCACGGGGGACCATCCACCCATTAGCTGCGTTCCTTACCGATACTCGCCAGCTCAACGAGTGGCCGCTTTTCAGCGGATTAAAGAATTCGAAGCTAATGGATGGATCGAACCCGCCATAGGTCCCTGGTCTTTTTCCGTGGTTCCATCGTCTTCTTGTTCGAGAAGAAGATCGTCCGAAAACAACGTTTGTACTTTTCGAGGGCACGTGGCAGTGGATTTGATGTCCGATGGGTATCTGCAACGCCCCCGCGACCTTTTAGCGGGCCATGAACATAGCTTTTCATAATTTCGTGAGAAAGACTCTTTTGGCGCAGAGCATCATCAACTACTGCGTGATTGTGTACATGGATGATATCTTGGTGTATTCGAGTTCCTACGAGGGACACGTGCAGCACATCGAATGGGCACTGCACGCGTTACGAGATGCGGGCTTCAAGGTAGCGCTTGAGAAGTGTCAGTTTTTTCTCACCACCATTTCCTTCCTAGGGCACGTGGTGACAGACAAGGGACTCCAGCCGGAGCTACAAAAGGTGGCAGTTGTCAGGGATGCGCCGGTGCCTACAACTATCACGCAAGTTCGCGCCTTTCTCGGTCGGGCCTCGTACTACCAAAGATTTATCAAGGGCTTCGCGGCGATTGCGGGACCCCTCACGAATCTGCTGCGCAAAGATCAACCGTTGATCTAGACGCTGGAATGCGATCAAGCGTTTTCCAAACTCAAGGCCGCTCTCATTTCGGCTCCGGTCCTTATAAGACCGGATCCCGAAAAGCCTTTTGTTCTCATCACTGACTGGCAGCCAAAGGCAATTTCGGCGATCCTTGCCTAGGTGGGACCAAGCGGACTCGAGAGTGTGGTGGAGTATGCGTCCAAATCGGTGCCAGCTTGCAAGCGCAACTACGCCGCTCCAACGGGGGAATGCTACGCAGCTCTCTGGGGAATCAGCCACTTTCGCGCTTACCTGTACGGGCGAAAGTTCACCTTGGTAACTGATCATGAGCCCCTGTTGCCTTTGAAGAAATCGAAGGATTACTCTGGCATGATCGGGCGATGGGCAACGGTGCTGCAGAGCATGGACTTTGACATTCGTCATCGGAAGCACGAGAGACACGGGAATGCGGACGGACTGACACGACCGCACCGGCCTGAGAAAGTTCCGAAGAGTGAGGAGGTGACACGAGGACTAATTGGTTTGTTCTACCCTCTCTGCAATCCAGTACCATCCCTTCCTTCTCTGTCATCATGACTACCCCACTTGCCTTCGCAACCCCTTCATCTCCTACTAATTCTGCCCCTCTCACGTCCTCAACTTTCTTTGCCACCCTCCCCGATAAGTTCTGTTATTTTTGCACGTGCATTGCACGGGTCTATGGGGTCGACTGTCATCCTTTCGAAACCGGGTTTATCGACTGGGTAGAATGTGTCACGTGTGTCAATCGTGCGCACGGGGCCTGCGTTCGATATCGAACGAGTAGCAAGGAATGGAGGTGCCCCCTGTGTAGAACGAACAAACTCCCCACAGAGGTTCGATTCGAGGCCGCCCGTACGGACGGCCCTGAATACGACGAAAACTACCGACGAGCGGAGGTTTGGACGGATCAAATTTTATTGGCGAAATTAGCGGGATTATCATTGGGCCACCTCACCAAACACGACAGACGTAGGGCAACCGAGAGATCTCGGGACTATCGATGGGTCAACGGTCATTTGGAAAAGCGTAAAACTGACGGATCGGGCTCGTGGTTGACGGTTCCCCATCCATTCCAGAGATATGATTGAATCCGATATGCTCACGAAGAACAGACCGCTCATTTCGCGATACGTGTCACGGAGGCAACTGTAGATCAGAACCGATGGTTCTGGTCCAATATACGAGATGATGTCAAATACATTGTTGCTAACTGTCTGGTTTGTGTCGTTGATCGCGCCCCTATACGGGGACCAAACACGATCGTACCAACGGAAGTAGAGCGTCCTTTCCAACGAGTCAGTATGGACACGACAGATATTGACGTGCCACCTGGCCCAAACCGCTGTGAATATTCTATCCTGTTAGTATTAATAGACCATTTTTCCAAGTATATCGAAGTCTATCCCTGTAAGACCGGAAAAGCCGCAAAAATAGCCACATACATCGAACGGTTCCTCTATACTCATCTAGATACGGAAGAAATTATAACCGACAATGGGTCTGAATTCAAGGGTGAGGTAGAAGAACTGTTTGCGCGAAGGGGCGTCACGCTCCGACATACGGTACCCCACGTGTCCCAGTCGAACGGGTTAGCCGAAAATGCCAACCGTATGATTAAAACCGCCCTTCGCAGGAACTTAGCGGCACATGACACGCGCCTTGGCCCGAAATCGTATATCAGATCGTCGGGATCCACCGGGCCACCCCTCACGAGTCCACGGGGTTTACCCCTTTTCAGCTTCGAACTAATAGCCTCCCCTGTGTCGACTACCGGGGTAACTCGGAAATTGCCGAAGCAGGGGGTAGAGACACGCGTGCAGCTCTCAAGGCCAAGGCCAAAAGGTACACCGAATTAATGGAACGGGTTGTCCCGAAGCTAGCCCGAAAAAGGCAAAGGATGACCGAACTGGCCCACGGTAGATAGATCCGTAGCTACGAGGCTCGAAATGGAAATGCTAGGCCCCATCTTCAATATTAGGGGACCTAGTGCAGGTACGTAAATGTGCATGCGACCGGAAACTCGCTCCCAAGTTTTCTGGCTGTTTTCTCGTTGTCGAGCTCGGACCCAACGGCGCCAACACGGTGCGCATCGCGCCTGAGGCTAGTGCCAGCCATAGCTCTGTCCCCATCGTCCGGCATACCTCCTACCTCCGTCTTCTTTCTCCTTCTGATCTTCCTCCCTCTCCTTCCTCGGAAAGCGAGGAGAACGACGACGATCTAACTCTCTCTCCTCTTTCTCCCTTTTGTCCTTCGTCCTCCTCCCCGACCTCGCCATGAGTTTCATCACGGAGCAGGTTCTCGACATACAGCTGTTGCAGCCACGTGGCCACATCTCAAAGATTCGGCAAGTTTGTCACCCTCGGCTCAATACGGATCTTCGGCGTTTGGCGCAATTTTTCTGCGACGTGGGTATCTGCGTCGCCGCCACGTTTCAAATCGAAGGGAGTCCTCACGCAGTAGTATTTGCGGAGGTAATCGCAGTTCATCGGCGAGCAGCTCCCAGAACGAGCTACGTCACCACGGTCGCGGCGTTCAGCGGCGACATCAGCTCGGCCGCAAAGGCATACCGCGATCTTGACTTCATTGCGCGAGTGGACGGAGCAGGTGTCCAACGTGTGGCAGCACGTTCTCGCCCGACCTGGGCAAAATCTCATCCCGACCTTTGCGCCGGATCTTGGCGACATCCGCCATTCTCCGCGCGAGCGGCCAGTTGTGATTCCCACCCTCGTCCCCTTCCCACATCCCCAATGAACCACGCCAATCCTCTCACTCCTCTCTCTATCTTTGGTCTCCCCTCTCTCTTCCCCACCTTCTGGCAATCCGATCTTCATCCTTCTCTTTCCTTCTCATTCGAGCCTCTTTCAGTCCCTCTTATCAATCCTGGGCATTGGCGGTTGTGGCGCGAAACTTTTGAGGAGTTGTCTTTTTGCTTGGCCAGAGTACAGGTGACGTGGACGCAGACCGGCGAGCATCCTGCGTGGATCGAAAATCCGGAGTTGCTGATCATCCAAGCTTGGAGGACTAACGTGGAGGGCGATCTTCTTGGCTTTCTCTTCGGATTGGTACAGCCGGGGCGCCGCCAGCTGATTGCACAGGAGCTCATCGCGCCGATCGTGCAATTGGCGGACGATCTCTCTCCCGACATCTATTCACAGAGTGACGACAATCCTGCTCCGCACGTTCTCGAGCGGTCATTGGATCCATATCTTCAGTGGACTGCGTGCTTGGAGGATCCCAGGGACGAAGATACGCAGTCGTCGCGGCAGGAGTATCTGAAGCCGTACGATATCATCCCTCACACCTTCTATCCGAGGGCAGAGGAAGTGGTGATCGACGACGACGACGAAGAGGACGAAGACGAGGAAACATCGGAGGAGGGAAGCTATAGTGAATATAGCGAGGGCGAGTTGAGCGAAGGAGAAGAGGAGGAAGAAGAAACCGGATCTGAGTGGGAAGCCTTGTCGGAGGAAGCGACGCGCATGGGAACGGAGGTGGAAGATCCGGAAGCGGCGAGAAAGCGTGAAGAAATTGCCACCGGGAAGCGCCAGCTGGAGTTCGCCAGCGAAGCCAGCCTGCGCATCGGTAACAATCCGACCAGGGATCCAGAGCCGCCGAAGCCCGAAGATGGCGACCCTGCAGCCGCCACCTCAAGTACCGCGCGACGGAGACGGAGCCGATCTTCCTCCTCCCCCAGCCCCACCTGTCCCTCAGTTCGCCCACGTACAGATGCGGGCGATAGGCCTTCGTCCTCGGATGCTATCCCGCCGACCCCTTGATTTTCTCACCCTCGAACAGATCCGCACCCCCGTCACCTTCCCTCCTCATCCCTTCCTCCCCCATCTCTTCCGCGACTTCTACTCTACCCGCCTACTCGCTGTCGTCTACCCCCACGCATCCCTTCAACCCGCTGCCCCCACGTCCTGTTGGCATATCTTGCTGTTAAGCGCTGCCTGGGAACGATGCAACGTGGTAGAAGTCTATTGCGTAGCCACGGGGACAATCCCCGCCTGTCGCCACTACGAGTTCTTTCGAGCGGCGTTTTTTCGCACCCTCTCCTCCTTCTATTGTGACTACCTCGCTTCCCTCCCTCGCAGCGGCGATCACTTCCCCCACTTTCACCGGATCATCCGATATGAGGAGCTTCCGGTGACGATGGAAGGGATGAATCGCTTTCTACCCCCACTTCCTCCCCGTCGTCCCCGGGAAATCCCCTCCATGTACCGCCTCTATTGGCCAATTCCAACTAGGAGGTAGATCCCGTGACTATCTCTTCCCCCCCCCCCCCTCTCTCCCCTCTTCATCCAATCTGCAGGGGAAAAAGGCACGAATCAGTAAGCCTCGCGAAGATCCCGCCATCGACGATGACGACAACTCACGTTCTGATTCGACGGGCAGCGATAAACTAGGGTGCAGAGCACACGGAGAACCGGCGAACGATGATGGCGTCACCTGGATGACCATCGAGTAGTCCGGCAGCACGAACCAACGAAGATTGCAATTGAAGTTGGCGTCAACATGGACTCTGGCCGGATCATTTGTTGATACGCTTGGTTCCTCATGCATCACTCTGCTCTCTCCCTCTCTCTCTCCTTCTCCGCCATGACATGCAATCAGGAGATCACATAATTTTGGAACCCCCTGCGCGTCACATATGTGATGAACCACTTCCCGAACCCGTCCTATCTTTCGTACCCCTTTTTGCTTGTATCATACCAACCCCATAAAAACCCCGTTTCGTTTTCTTGATTTTGGGTACCGCAATTTTGGCTCCCATCTTTCGGAAGCTTTTTCGACTCCCGGGTTCTGCTTTTCCTTTCTGCAATTCGGGAAATACATAGGAAATTACGTGCGCCTTAGCAAGCGCACTGGGAATTGGGCTCGGCAGTTGGGAATTCCGGGATAAGCGGAACATCGACGTGTCCTTTTCGTGTGTGTGAATGTTTTTGGTCGCGTCGGGAAAAACTCTCGGAATTTTGTGTGAATACGAATAGGCATAGGATTTTCTTTTCCCGCGTCGCTCTTTCGCGCGCGGATATGGTGATTTCAATTTTGAATTAGGCTGTAACTGTTTCGGTGCCTTTTTCTCTCTTTTTGTTGACGGCGCCGCGCACGCAAAAGCTCTCTCCTCTCTGCCCCCCACCCGCATCGCTCCCTCCCACGCTCCCTTCCCCTTCTCCCTCCTCTTTCTCTCTCCCCTTAACTATTTTCTTTCTCTCTCTCTTTCTCCCGCTTTGCTCTTTGCGCGCTCATTTCCCTTTCTTGATCATCTGAATCTTGGACCCATCTTGCGCTACTTCTCGCGCCTTTTCTCTTCTCACCCTCCGAGTCCAACGCACGACGCCCGGTCGATCCGTCGATAACTCCCGCTCGCCAATCAGGTGCGTGGATCAATAGGATCTTCCTATTGCGCGACGAATCTGATTGGTTGAACCTTGAGTTCCGAGGGATCAACATGGCGTTCACARAGCACTCTTCTCAAARTCTTYTCCTCCTGCTTCTCCTCWTACACCTCAACTTCCCMGTCTCTTTCTCCCCCTTYTGTCTCCCTTGTCACAACTATRAAACCCGCAAGCGCRCCCGCAAATCTCTCTTACGTTCTYGACTCTCAAGCCAGCTTCCGGGAAGYASTGGTTARGCAGAKTGTTTGATGYGAGTCGGAAMGTCCTGTCGGGCTGACGATAGGCTGGYCGGTTGCGCGCTRGATCGCCACRACGGACTGTGGGATCTRGGCGAACYGTGTCGAGTCTACGACAGCGGGGTGACGATCGCAGTGGTGGGAGTTASCACGCGGCGRCCGGGATCGTYGGTGCGGGTATGAGGATYGATGATTRGAGTTGAGTGAGTGATTGGCCCRGGRCCATATTGGAATTAACGGCGAATGCGCCTTTGTTGTTGCGGATCTTTCTCTCTGACAACRYTGAACTTCCTTCTTTTGGGTTGCGTCATCTCCTATCTCGACTCTCCTCCCTCACCTYCYCCTTCTCYTCTATCTTTGAATAATGATGTGTCTCCATGCTTCTCTCCTTTTCTCTCTTTCCCTCTTTTGGATGAGCATGAATCTGTATRCTTTCCTTGCSTGAAAGAACTTCTTCCRKAACTCTTCCATTAGTTTCCTRGGTAATCCTCCTACGCAAGGACCCMGTCTTYTTGTCTTGTGAAYGGTGGATGYGTGTGTACTGTGCAAGCAATCCATCTTTTCCTGTGCATGGCTCATTTTTCGCACCTTCCACAGTGGATGTATGCATGGAGATGTGTGACMCYCTTTTTTTGCGTTGATTAAACGATTATCGTCGGGATTTTGTTCGAGAATGCAAGAGTGTTTAGGTCTGTAAATCTGAATGTACTGCGCATGCCATCTGCCTTATGTTGCACGACATCAGCAGCCGAGCCACGGGGCGGCCTCGAGAAACAAGGCGCCTGGGATCAACATCGCGCTGGCTCACTAAACCTGAGCCGCGGATCGGTCCCTTAGTTATATGCATGATCAAGTTGCTGAAGTGTCTTCCTTCTCTCTCTCTCTCTCTCTCTCTCTCTCTCTCTCTCTCTCTCTCTCTCTCTCTCTCTCGTGTTGAAGGAGATTGTTTGTGAGTTGCGTGAGTGTTTTCTTTTCTTGATGACGTCGCAAGGTCTTTACAATTGATTGATATGTGGACTGACCAGTACCCTCCGATCGGGCACCAGCCTCCCGTACCTCCCGTCCCAACACGGCCTTTTCCCTCCAACGAGGGAAGGACACGTGTATGCGAGTGGGACGTATGAGAAGCCGTTGCACAAATCGGCGGACGATACTATGTCCCTCCGGCAAATCGTTGTTCAGGGTTCGTAGAGGCTGGGTTTGTCATTATCGATACGCACTTCCCACCTTACTCGATATTGTTGCCATTCAACGAGTTTATTGTCATCCCGTGGACGGCAGTAGAACCCCACTGGCCGCGCACTCTATGCACCGAATGCCAGCATTTTGAGCGCTATGAATCCAGGGGTTTCCACTACCGTGTGCGGAGTGAAGAGGAGCATAAAGAAAGAGCCACGCGGCTGAGACCATCAACGTCGGACTCGGAACTGACCAACGAACGACGACGAGATTTGATACGAAAACGAGACACGCGGAGCGTGCCAAAGCCTTTCCGTTCCAAACGACGGGCTGTAGCCCGGTGGAAAGCCCGACAATACTTTTTGGATTGAATTTGGATTTTTCTCTTTTCGCGCCGTGCCCGCGCGCGCATTCCGCGACGCGCGAAAGCAATCGACTTGCTTCATTGGACCAACACGGGGGATTTCAGTTCCATCTGTGTCCCCACACTCAATTTCCAAAAATCCTTGGCACACCCCATCTTGCTGTTTTTCTGGGCCTCTTCCCGCACGCCTAACACTCCGAACGAAAGACAGCACATGGCGTGAGGTTAGCGCGTCACATGCTGCCGGACCGACGCGCGCGACAGCGCACCAATTTTTCACAAGCCTAACGGAGCGGGAACCGCTAGGGGAAATTTGTTGGCCGGCACCGGTACCGCCGCTTACGGTGGAGCTGCTGCCTGCAGCTGGAATGAAACGCAGCAGTCGTTTTCTTGTTTTCACTTGTGTACCACCCCCCAAGCCCTGGCAAGAAGTGCAGTCAGATACATCATGGAAAGAGCTGCGTGAGAATGCCCTGAAATGAAAGGGGCTGACTGGCAATCGTTTGCTCCCCAGAAACGACCGAGATTCTTCTTTCTAGTGTTTTTTTTTTTTTTTTTTTTTTTTTTTAAATATATAAGGAAGGAAGAAAAATGGCACACAAATCTCTGAACGTGATTGTCTTCAGACTCATCCATGGCGGGCCATAAGTGCGGGACGATACATTCTAAGAAGTGGTAGCGCGAGACTGCCCTGAAACGTTCCTTTGCTGGCAGGCACTTGATTGCACCCTGGCTCTTGTGCCCAGCACAAGAGATCTCTCCAATCCGATGGCCAGGTGTATTCAGTTCCCAGCTGATGTCAGATCCTAGCGCACCAGCGCGTCCAATCCCATGGCCAGGTGGATTCAGTTCCCAGTCGACAGCATATCCTGTCTCACCAGCGCCATATGAGGATCGCCCTCAGGCAATGTAGTAGAAGTATGTGTTGTATAGTTTCGGGGATTTTGCGAGATGGCATTCTGTCATGACTTGCAGCACGGAAGTGCCAAGGCTTTCTGTTCCACATATGTGCGGGCATATAGACCAGTCCGTCTGGGCCGGCAAAGGTGCTGATTTTCGTATTCGTAGGTTGCTGTGAACCAACAGATGGGTCAGATGCCATCGCTCCCCACGTTCAGGGGTGTCATCCAGCGGTTCCTTTTTTTTTGTTGTTGTTGTTGAAACTGAGATCGTGGTTCAGTGGAAAAAGAAATCTCCCATCCATCGGTTCCTTACAGGCAGCAGAAGGCGCGGGACTCCTTTTGGCGCGTTTTCCCGAGCGGGCTGGCCACACAAGGACAAAGGAAGGTCCCATCAAAAGAACAAAGGAAAAAAAACAAAAAATCCGGAAAACAAAACTAGGTTATGGATTTGCCTCATGGTCACATCAAATTTCTTTACCAAATTTAAAATATAGAATTTTTATTTTTTTATTTGTTTTTTGGGCCCTGCCGGGCAATTGGTCCTGCGCCACTCGCGTAGATTAGCCTAGTGATCTTGTGAATTCATGGTTCATTAGCAATTTACTTTAATTGACTTGTTTTTGTTCTGCACCCGATTGCCACATATTACTTTAATTGACTTGTTCTTGTTCCGCACTCACTCAAGTGCCAAAATTAGTGCTCTCTTTATTAAAAAAAAAAAAAAAAGCGATCTCGTGTTATATCCCTCATATGTTACAATTGTTATTTTTACCTTTTTTATTTTTTTTTACCTTTTTTAAAACATGTTACCTAATTGTTTCAATGCTTTTGTTGTGCCATTAGATAATTGTTTCAATGCTTTTGTTGTGCTATTAAACATTCCAATAAACATTTTTAAGGATAATTTTCTTAATGTTTTGGCTCTCTTTTTTTGTCAGTTCAGGTTTGTATGCGTCAAGTTTTCTGTTTGTTGTCCTTTCATCTCCTCCATCCATCATCGTGGTTCTCCTCCCTTTCTCTCCCTCCTCCTCTTCTATTCTCCATTCTCTATCCTGCTCCCTCCTCCATCATCGTTGTCGTCCTCCCTCCTCCTCCTCCACCGTCAAAGTCCCCCCCTCTGTCTCACTCTCCCTCGGGTAGCACCGGGCGTGACAGTCCTCTGCTTCCAAGCCCCAATGCTCCACCCCGCCATGACCCTGCTGCAATGCCTCCTGGGTGGCATCCCACCTTGCCCCGGCCGCAACACGCGGCACCCCACCATGACCCCGCCACAATGCCTCATGGTGGCACTTGACCTTCGCCATTGGACTGCGAGCTCTGCTGTCCAGTCCGCTCCATGGATCTTGCATGGCTTTTGTGGCCCTGCTGTAAACCTATAGCCATTACCCACAACGGTACCAGGGTCTTTCGTGGGCCCATCGTCCATGATCCGCTTCATGCTTCAGGAAGGTTAAAGATTCTTTTTTTTTGAAAGAGCCCTTGTGTAAGCCCTCTATCACGGCGGTGGTAAGAGAACCGTCAGAATTGAGGGCTTATTTGCCGCGCTGCTCCGTCTATTGGTGGGGAGTGACACCTGCTGGAAAACGGGTCCAGAGTCCCATTGATACATCTTTTTTTGCTGAGAATCAGGCTCAGCGTCCTTTGGAAATATACATGGGTGAAAATGAGAAGACCATGATCATGCGACAGTCTGAGAAATACCACATTGCTGGAAACCAGGTCCAGCGTCCTGCCCCTTCTTTTTTTTTTTTTTTTTTTTTTTTTTTTTTTTTTTTTTAATTTTTAAACTTGGATCCTTTTATGACCAATAAGAAGATTGAGGCCGGGGTCCTCACAGTCTGCCCGGAGAAACCGAACCGGACTTGCTGAGAACCGGGCTCAGCGTCCCTCATGATGATAGTAATGATGCCCTCTCTGGACTCTATCAAACTTCTGATTGACCCCTAGTAGCTGGATCGTTTGAATTTCGCATGCTTAAATTTCTACCAGGTTCCCATTTCAGGATAGAAGTGGTGGCAGTCCGAGTCGTCAGCAGGAAGAGAGTAAAATGCAGACGCCATTGCTGATGAAGTGTATTGCAACAGTCAGTCACGGTGTTGGGTCTGTGCATGTAACGCAGGTCATGTCAATCTTTAAGTATTTGTAAGATCTTCCAACCAAGTCTAGAAGAAGAAAAAAAAAAGTAAAAAAAAGTCTAGAAGAATTCATAAATGCTACTAAAACCACCAGTACGTTTCCCAACCGGTACTTTTTCAGAGTTGTGGCTTGTATGCTGCCGCAACTTCCAAGGTTCATCCTTCCGAGCAAAATGCCTGGCGGTGCCCCGGGCGCCCCGGCGCTAGCCTAGTGAGATCATGTATAAGGGGTGACAGAAACAACAAAAAAGTCATCTAAATTTATTATTGATTTTTGTGATATTTCCCCCCCAGAAAGATCAGCAAAATCTAAAGCCATGTTTTTTGTTTTTTAAGGCATTCCGTGCACAAGTTTTAACTATAGTGGTACTATTTAAACCACCAGTATCTACCTCACATCGGGCGTAGCTTTGTTGTCTCCACCAGTACATACCTCACAGCGGGCGTACCTTTGTTGTCTCCCTCCAGCCATCAGAGGGGATGCATGTTGCCAGAGGGGATGCATGTTGCCGCCCGCCCCAACTGTCCGGCAGGGGGACTGGAGTTTAATGCATCTGCTAAGTTTTATTGTAGACTTTTTGTACTCCATTGGTTCACGTTTGTGTTCAAAAAGTTTGTTATTTCTATACTTACGGAATCCTCGTGACGGTCATCTTATGTAGTTCTGTGGGTACCCAAGAGCCTAGCTCAATGGGTACACACCTGAAGTGTTGAAATATAGACCTGAGTTCGAATCCAGATGATGGAACTTGCTGAGTAACAGCAAATATTTCTGAATTGCCTGGGGGCAGTCAGCTCAATGATGATATCGGCCCTGGGCCGGAAGCGAAAAAGGTGCAGTTCAGTTAGAGGTTCCCAAGCCCTGGAAGTTAAAGAAGTTGGCTTTGTCAACTTACGGCGTTGTCAAACAAGAATATCATTGTACTGTTGATTGTCATGCAATGATGTGAACACCTGCTTGTGCAATGAATGGCATGAAATTCAATGCCCTATTTGTGGACAGGTAAGTGTGCTTACCAGCGACAAGTGCATACTCGCACTAGGCCCTTATAGTCGCAGAATGGCAAAATCAGCAAAATCAGCAAAATCAGCGGCCATATAGCGTCCTACTGAAAGGACTTCCTAGTGTGAGGAAATTCTAACTTGGCTGCTGATGATATGACCCCTTTATAGTAATGAAACAATCTATGATGATGTCAATCTGAGGGGCTTCCACTTGGGCTTGGCTTAGCACTAACCACTTCTGTTTCAAAGCCTGGTTGCAGCACTTGCCAAATGGTAAGAAGATCAGCCACCTTCAAGTTGGGTGCAGAAGACAGAGAAAGAAGTAGGTTAGACCAATGGGCCTACCTACCTCAGTTGAATGTGAGTTTGAATCTGCCTTCTTCCCCCGAATACAACGTACGGCCATTATAGCTGTATTTGGGGTATCTTTCAGTCTATATACAGCTATAATGACCATGCGGTCTATTCGGGGGAAGAAGGTAGGTGAAACTACCAGTAGTTGACTGAATTTTAGAATTACCCCGCGGGGGCCAGTCAGTTCGAGGTATGTGAGGTGAGAGAAAAATATATTGCTGTCCCCCAATGAGGAGAAGGCAGCTTTAAAAAAAAAATGATGATATCTTTTTTTTCTATAAAAAAGCTATATTCTTCTCTCAAACTCACCTCACACTACCTACCTACCTACCTACCTAAGACTATATAGAGGGGGGCCCTGCAAGCATAGGGCCTCGCAAACGAGGTAATTCATGTTGCCCCTCGGGGGGTGGGGCTGCCGGTGGGGGTCCGGCTAACGCAAAGACCGAGCATTTTGCCAGTAGCTGCGCCTCCCTTTCTCATAGTCCCCCACCCCTCATCGAGTAGCAGCAGAGGCTATGGCCAACACTCTCCCACACACCACACACAACCCACTCGCACCTGCACTCACACCCGTGAGGTCATAGACCCAGCTAATACCGATCAGGGGTATCCAGAGCACTATCACAGTCCGTTGGCACTAAGTGCGCCGCAGGCGGCCATGGGACTTGAACCCACAACCTCCTGAATGCCACTTGCGTGCCTAACCAACTGAGCTAGGCCGTCGCCCTTTTTTTTTTTTTTTTTTTTTTCAAAAGTAGGTGAGGGCATCCTTGTACCTTCGAGGTGTAGATACGCCCGCCTTTTCACACATCTGGTGGGTAGGTCGATGAATCTTACCGCTTTTTATGCGAAAATGCGCTCTCTTGCTAATTTTTTTTCGGTTCGTGAGTGTGGCGGAGCGAGGCCCTCCATGAGGGATGAGGGAACTCCTCGCACAATTGGTGGGATGTCACCAGGGGCAAGGTCCCACTTGCGCGAATTAGGAGATTTCGGCCGTTGATCTTTGCTATCTACGGTCAGTATCTCTTAATTCTTTCGTGCAAGTGGGACCTAGCCCCAGGAGCGTGGCGACCGCCGCCGCTCACGATGTAACAACTCTCCGCGCGCCGGCCTGAAAAACAAAAAAAAAAATTAAAAAAAATTAGGGCACCAGATGCCACGCGGCAAAAGTCGACGAATTTTGCTTTTTTCGCTTCCGCAGCTGCGGCACGGTTCCCGCCTTCTGCACCTGCCACGTCGAAACGACCGCTGATCGGCTGATTGCCATGGTGATGCCACGATTGATCAGCTCAGCTCTTTCGTGGTGTCAGCTCTGCCTTCGACCCGCTGATGACAGCTCGACAACACCGATCGTGGGCGAGCGGCGATCGCGATACGGCATCACCCACTGTCCATTGGCTTGCCCACGTTTTAGGTCCGCCGCCTGTGCCGTGGAAAACCAAGCTTGACTGTGGGCCGCGCTGCACTACTCTCGAAATGTGCAAAACGAGAGTGAATCTTGCTCTAGAATATGGAAAGATACACGGCCATGATTTTTGTCTTTTGTGCATTTTTTCAAGAGTAGCGCAGCGAGGCCCTGTGCCAAGTCAACGACGTCCCCACAAAGCCGTACGCCACGTGTGTGTGTGCGCGCGCCAACGCACGCCACGTCTGTGTGTGTGCGCGCCAACGTACGCCACGTGTGTGTGTTTGTGTGTGCGCGCCAACGTTGTGTATAGAAATAAGGACGGTGGTCTGAGAAACGAGGGCGGGGAAAAAAAGAGGGGTAAAGAAAAACAAGGAGGGTGACTTTAATTTCCCGCCTCTTCGGTACGAAGACAAGTTCGGTAGAAAAACAAAAAAAAAACAAAAAAAAAAGTTCGGTAGATCGGCTGTAATAGAAATCCACCGATTACCGATCTGCTAGTGAACGACCGGTCGATTCTTTTCGAGTATTCCCTGTGTGCTGCTTCTCTTCTCCGGGTTGGCGCCACTAATTCCCCGGTCCATGAACTTTTAGGTGATTAGTGGGGGGGGGGGGCAATAGGTCTTAGCTCGACTACTCTCGATATGCACGAAAGACAAAAATCATGGCGGTGTATCTTTCCATGTTCTAGCTGAAGATTCACTCTCGTCTTGCACATTTCGAGAGTAGTGGAGCGAGGCCCATCGGGACGGTAGTTCTCGTCAGATACCTCCAGGAAAGTTCCCAGTTTGATGACTACGTTCTCTCTTAGGGCATTCACACACTACACTAGGATTTTGTTTACTACTAAGCTGTGGACAGGATCGCGGTCAGATTCAGTCGGGTCTGGCCGTGATTGCAGTCGGATGCAATTTGGAAAAGTCCTGGTGTTAGTATGCCCTTAGTCTTTTTCTGTCCACTTACTTGTGTCTCCCATTCCTCCTCTGCCTCACTTACTTGTGTCTCCCATTCCTCCTCTGCCTGCTTGTTTCCTCGTCGCAACAATCATTCTCCGATCGATACTTCCTCTCCCCCCC